TATTTCTATTGCTGTTTGTTATCCCCTGGCTGTTCAGTGTATGAATTTTGATTCTTGGTATACATACATTCGATTTAACTTTGCATACATACATGTTATATGGTATATATATCAAATAGATACATTTTACATTGATAGCAAGACCTGTCCTTAAGGAGGAAAGCAACTGACCATTGCTTTCAAGTAGAGAAAGGCAGAGAGTGCAACAGAAGTACGATGGGAGGATGTGGATGCTCACAGACTGAATACCTTGCAAAGTGCCACCAGAGTATTTGAGACCAGACTGGAATTTCTTAAAATGGCTTAGATTCAGCAGAGAGACCTGTCAGGACAGTAACAAAGAGGAGAGCCTTGTGGAGGGATCTTTATAGATGTTCCTCCCAGCCTTTCTGGAAGGGGTTTTGGTGAAATGTCCCTATAAAGAATGAGAGAACCAACCAAGAACTAAGGAGAAATTTCCTAAAAGTTAGAGCAATTATTCAGTGGAAGAGCTTGCCTCCACGTTGTGGGTGCTACATCGCTGGAGGTTTTCAAGAAGAGACTAGACGACTATTTGATTAGGATGGTATAAGGTCTCCTGCCTTGAAGAGAGGATTGGACTTGAAGACCTCCAAAATACTTTTCCAACTCTGTTATTCTATTAATTAATCAGTGGAACGACTTGCCTCCAGAAATTGTAGATGCTCCATCACTGGAGGTTTTCAAGAAGAGATTGGACAGCCATTTTGCCAGAACAGTATAGGGACTCCTGCTTGAGCAGGGGGTTGGAGTAGAAGACTTCCGAAGCCCCTTCCAACTCTGTTATTCTGAAGCCAGTATGAGCCTACAGAACAGCAGCTTAAATGGTAAATATGGATATAATCTAAAAATGGAATATAGTGGTACAATTGTCAGAAGCATTTGCCTGAGGATATCTGTGACGGGCATGGTTTGTAGAGAGGAAGATCTATTTCCCGACTTTGCTCATTAGGGACAAATTGGCTATACTGAGAAGGATCTTTGCTCTTTACAGTTCATGCCTGTGACAGGCACTCTAGGGCAGGTCCTTGTGACAACTGCACCAACTGCATTCCAACATATCTTCTTCCTTCAAAAAGATCCCTGTGCTTAACTTTCTTTCCATACAATTTCCTCTTAAGCGTATCACAAATTGAGTGAGCCAGTATGTAAGCTTTCATCCAGCAATCTTCTTTCACAAAAGGTCCTCACCTGGGGTGGTTCCATGATGTGCCACAATTTTTCACTGTACACTTTGTTATTTAAGATGATGTATTTTAGAGAGAGAAAAAATGCCTTTCTATTTCATGCACTATTTGCTCCAAACGTATTTACAGGCATTTCCTTCCCAATCTGTTGCTGCTTGTGGATGGAGAGAACAGACATTTATTTCCATTACTAAGGCAACAAGGAAATCACTCACTTTCCATAATTTTCTACTTTGAGTGACAGGACCCAGTTGGATGTGCATTTTGCTGCACAGAAAGGTTAGCTTGTCACGTGGGAAGCCTCTCTCATACAGGGTTCCCTTGTTCTCGTGCTCAGGATAACCCCAAGTACACGATGCAGGCATGTGAGCAGCTAAGAGTTTTCTAGTTGTAGCAGACTGCACACGGGAGTCTGCAACTCTGCCTGCTTTTGTCGATATCGTGAAAGCAGTGTCGTGATTCATGCTTACCATTTTTTTCACATGTGTGTGCAAGATCACTACACAAAGGACTAGGTCTTGGGTTGCAGTAGTACAATGCTGCTTTCGTCAGACAGTTTGACTCCCATCTCCATCCTAAGGTCACTGCTGAGCCTTCTATGTCCTGCATCTCATCTCTTGGATGTCCTGAGATTACTCTAAGAAAGTAGGTTACCTGTTATATGCTCAGACAGCATCACAATCATTTCCTAGGTCTTCCTAATGTTGGCATGAAGCAACAGTCCTGCTGACCAAATGAAATTGTGTATAATGCTTGAGGCTTTCTATATCCCAAATTCCTCTCCTTTTTGTATACTGTATAAAGGTAAAAAAAAATATTCGAAAATGCATGTCCCAAATCATGACAGTATGACAGCAGCACACTTCCACAGTTCTCTAACATTGCTATTATTATTTTTTTGTATGCTAGCACTTAGCCTTGATAATTACAGTTCCAAACTTCTTTGTCCATTGGGAAATAGCAACACATATTTTATAGTTCCTGAAATTAAAAGCAGAAGCAATGAACTATACCTTCAAATTAAAATACCTTGCCAGGAGGATTTCTTTTCTGGCAAGTGTAAATGGAACAGAATCTCGGGGTGATTTTTTTTCTTAATATAATGTCTTATCCAGTGCTTTTTTTGTAAAAAAAAAAAAAAGGTGCCAGAACCTACCCTACAAGGTTCCATCCAAAAAAGGTGCAGGAACTCCATTCTGGGTGTTCTATGACAAAAAAAGCCCTGGTCTTATCTATCAACAGCTTGTGATATTTTTTTTTTTAAAAATCAGCAAATAATTTTTTGCTGCCTTTCTGTGCCAGATAAAACTTTAGTGCATGATCCAATTTTCAATGCTCTTCAGAAAACACATAAAGGTTGCAATCAAATGAAGCGGAAATTAAGAAATCACGCCCAATTCTTAAATGCAATCAAAACATACCTATTTTCTGCCCCCCTCCAATTAAGGACTGGCTTATTTTGCTCCTATGGCATCCAACTCATGGATGAAAGGAGAATGTTTACTTCCTGCTGATAGATGAGCTAACCAGCTGCTTCCAGCCTTTCCTTCTTTATCAAAGTTATGTTAATCATGTAACTTCCTGACAGCCACTAGCTACCCACTTACTTCCTCTGTGTTCCTATCAGCAATCAAACACATAAACACTACAGTTTTGCCTCTTTCCATTCCCTGAGAACCACTGGAAAAAGCTCCTCCTCCTCCTCAAGACTGCCATGCTGCCTAATGGGCACATCACCTCAAACAGTCTGTGATGGGCAGCAGATGGAGGAGAAAACTGTGGGTTGTGCGGACTGCATGATATCCCCCCAAAATTAATCTCATTTGCCAACATTGCAAGAAGACTCAACTGTATGCTAAATCAGCTTTTATACATGTGATAGGAGGTAATACCATCTTATGTGTTGTCTCTTGGGATTCTGTGGTTGCACAAAGTGTTAGTTGGCCTTGCCTTTTGCTGTGGCTTTCTTAATGAAGAGCCACAATGGCGCAGTGGTTAGAATGAAGTGTTGCAGGCTGACTCTGCCCACAGCCTGGAGTTCATTCCTGATAGGGCTCAAGGTTGAATCAGACTGCCATCCTTGCCAGGTCAGTAAAATGAGAATTCAGATTGTTGGGGGCAACATGTTGATATTGTAAACTGTCCAGAGAGTGCTGTAAAACACCATGGGATGGTATATAAGTTTAAGTGCTATTGCTACTGCTAGTAATTCCATGACCTCTAGGCTCCCAAAAAGAAAGATGGTTGTTAGTTACTAGCTTGCAACAAAATGGTTAGATACATGCACTATACTAACTTAAATGTGCTTTGTTTCAGTTCACCATGCTATACATACAGTCCTCATTTAATGACCGGTTGCCATTCAAAGTTACAAAGCTTGTATAATGTGAGATGAATGATGCAATGTTAGGAATGACTCAGCAGGAGTATGTATCCCTTTAAGAACTTGAGTATAAAAGGGAAGGCCTTGCTGGAGTCTTTCTCTCTCGTCCATTTCCTGTGTATTGTATTCAGTTTGCTGTGTATTGGAGTTTGCTGTATTATCACATGTATGTATTTTGCTCCTAGAGTATATTTGTAGATAGTGTAATATAAACCACCATTTAATACAAACCATTGTTTGCTGTATTTACTCCTGGGTTACCTCAGCACAATAAGACTGTGCATGCTCTGACAGGCCTCTCCAGAGTTACTTAGGACACTTTTTCAAGGGCCACCTCTCCAATTACATGATTGCATTTTGGACACTTGGAAAACAGTTTGGCCATTTACAGCAAACACATAATTTTTGGCATTTTTCGCTGGTTCCTTCTGATTTCCAGCAAAAAAACAGACACGGAGGAAAACAAACCCGTTTAATGACCATGGCATTGGCTTCATGACCACCGCAAAAGAGGTCATAAAATCAGGCACAGTCATATGATGATCTGCTTAATGACCACCACAATTTACGACCGCAATTCTGTGCTCAATTACGGTTATAAGTCAAGAACTACCTGTAACGTGTGAACCCAGTCATTCAGTTCAAATGGTATTAACCACCATACATAAAAAAGGAATGTTAACAAACCTAGTGACCCCAACCCTACAGTTAAATTTCTCTTTTGCAGAAAACCAAAAGCAGAGAGAGGTGTGTTCCTGCACAGAGGAGGTACAATAATCTTAGGAATCAGAATAGGCTGCACTTCAGTTATGCCACCCGGGACAATATCAGAACTTGCACTTGTAAGATGTTGAAGGAATAAAACGAAAGCTCTCCTTAACCAGCATTGCAGAATAGAGCAGAATTTGATTTCCAGCATCAAATATTATTGGATTCATTCTGACTTTTATAAACATTCTCATGTCTAAAAGTTAAAAAGTACATTCTCCCCAAACGAAGCAAATGTATTTAAGCTTTTCTGTATATAAAGATAGGAGCATAAACGAGAATAGCCACCATTTTGAATCTTAACTATTTCATATCTTATTTTATGGAGTTTAACAGAGAAACTATAGGCTATTTCAACCACTAGGGACTACCCACTTTGATTCTGAATTAATACATTTATGTTTAATCTCATTCTGGGGAAGATTTTTAAATGGTTTACAAAGGTTGACAAGAGCTACCATGTAGCAGAGGAGTTTGTTAGTCTACTTTAATTCACATGTTTTAGTTAGCTCTTAACCACCTTAATTTCTACTTTCTCCTTTAAGCCCTGTCAAGAAGATAAATAGCAATTGCTCTCCCCAGGGACATTTTAGAGTCAAACCCCATTGGCTACTTGCCATACTTTGAGAGATTCATTCACCCACCTATACAGACAATATCCATGAAGCCATACATCCCATAACAGATCTGGAAGAGCAGGTCTTGCCGCTGCCACTTAGCAGATGGACTGAAAGTTGACCAGATAAGCCACGAGATACTGGCAATAAGAAAAAGGGACCCCAAGATGGCTGCTGCTATCTGAACTTTTTCGATGACGGTCAGAGAAATGGTCTGCCACTGCGTAAGGCCCCAGGCAACAGGAAGGCAGCAACAAACAAGCCAGGAAGAAAAAGAGAGATAAATGGAATTAATTCCTGATTTATAGGCACCAAATCACGCTAATTAACATCCAATAACATTTCCACATGGATTTTTTACAAGATTGTAGCAGCAATTTAAACAAAATGGACTTCATTGTTATTCAGTAGTTCCCAGAAGAAAGAGCAATTCTGAATTTGCGACAGCATCTGGAAAAAGGCAGTATTAATTCCTGCCCTGGTTATCCCTCCAGCGTTAGTGCTCCCTGTCCTGTCATTTTTCTACACTTCTATCCGGCTGCATTCTTAAGGGTTGGTTAGGAATTAGTTGAACTCCATTGTTTTAAAAAAGACTAAAAAGACTACTAAAACATGAAATGTTAATTTTGATAATAATAGCGATGATTTTGTTGCATTATATTCAAATATATCTTGGTTTTCATACTTCTTTTGTGTCACCTTGATATCCCAGCATTAAGCAATGGTTAAAACTATTTTTTACTGAACAAATATACTGTAAATTAGAGGAAATAAAATAGCATTTGGGACAATCCCTGGAGATCAGATTAGTCCTGACCCTGTTGGCTTTTGCAAGGCCCTGAAGACACGGCTCTGTTCCTGGGCCAGCGGGGTTCAAAATGTCTGTTAAAGCCTGTGAATTAATTAATCCATCTTCATGAATTTTAAAAAATCTGATCTATTTTTGTTGGCTTTTTGCTGTTTTATTTAATTATTGTTAGTTATCCAGAGTCATTTGTTTGAGATGGTAGCTATATCAATTGCACGCATGAATAAATAAAATGAAGTTTTTTTTCATTAGCTCATCTATCAACATCTGTGATATTTAATTCTGAAAAATGAGAAGAAGAAATCTGCTTCTTGGGTATTTTGGAGAAATCCTACAGTCCAAACATACCATGAAAGGATTCATTAACACAGGAAAAAAAACCATATCCCTGTTTTGGAATACTAATAAGGTAACATTTGTTTTAAAAAAATAACCAAAGTAGTAGGCTGAAACAGTAGCACTTTCTCTGATGACCTTCGGCTTCTTGCCAAATTTATCACTCTCTCATAAACTGCCTCTTTTTGCTTATGTTTCATTTAGTTTGGAGCCTGCAGGAGTCATTATCTGGTCTTTGTCCTGATTTTTTTTTAAATAGAATTGTTACATGTATTACAATTAAAATCAAGATTCTTAATTACCTCTTCCTCATTCTGCTAGACACAATCACAAGATAGGTGGTAAAAAAATCTCCCTTTCTCTCCCCATCTTTCTGCTACAACCTCCATATTTGAGCTGCAGATGGCAGCAAAGTGATAAGAATAGCCTCACTTATTGCTGCCACCCAGTGGTCACCTGAATGAATGCAGGTTAGATCTTGTATCTCTACAATATTTCCAATCTTGAGACAACTTCAGGGCAAAGTCAATGGGGCAGGGAATGTGGCAAGTCTCCTGGTTTTCCTGCACTCATCCATGCTCTCCACCTCATGACTTTACTGCACTTGACCTTGCGGCACCCTTCTTCCTACCTCCCCTCCTACCCATGGTATTCCTACACTCCTTACCTGGCACTCCCATCACTTTCTGCTTAACAACCTCCATGTCCTGGGGGTTACAACAGTACTGGAATTCTCTTGCTAAGCAATGCAGTTGTATAACATCACATTTTACAATTGCATCACTTAGGAATGGCAATCCTTGTCCCAACTGCCATCGTAACCCAAGGACTACCTGTATCTTAAATGTTTCCTATTAAGCTAACATACAAGGAAGATAACTTTGAACTTACAACTCAGGAGTCATTCTCCTTTTCTTTCAGTGTATTCTGTTTATTCATTTATTCCATTTTCATAGCATATGGTGTGCTCCTTTGCTCCTTATTTTTCATCCCAACAGTAAACCGAGTTGGGTGATAGCCTTATAATCATGTGACATTACATTTCTCTTTAAAATTTCTCTCTATCCATAATCTTCAAGGTGCAGTGAAATCTGGTTTTAGTATTTTTCTAACAATGCCGCTTTGATTTTCTTGAATTCTGTCATTTCTTACCAGTTCCTTGAATTCAATAATTTATTTCATTGTAAAAAAAAATTCCAAGACAACAAATCCATGGTTAGAAGTTTTATTAAAACAACACTTAGGGAACCCTGATCTAGGTTATATGAAACAATTACGATCCTTGCATTTGACTCTGTTGAAAATAATGTTCATGTGCCTTGTCTTCTGCTTATTCTAATTATATGAGCAGAGAACATAGAATCCTAGTGGCTGGAAGGGACCTCAGAGGTCTTTTAGTTCCAGAGTTTATAGGATTTTTGGAGCATTCTCCCTCCAGAGAGAGAGGGGGAGAGGGAGGGAGGGAGAGAGAGGGAGGGAGGGAGGGAGGGAGAGGGAGATGAGTAGATCTCAACTTACAATAGAGTGACACTTACCGCTGTTGCAGCATCCCCATGGTCACGTGATCAAAATTCAGACATTTGGTAACTGACTCATATTTATGACGGTTACAGTGTCCTCAGGTCATGTAATCTCCTTTTGCAACCTTTTTACAAGTAAGGTCAGCGGGGAAGCCAGATTCACTTAACAACCGGGTTACTAACATAACACCTGCAGTGATGCACTTAACAACTGTGACAAGAAAAGTCACAAAACGGAGAAAACTCACTTAACAAATGTCTCACTTAGCACAGAATTTTGGGCTCAGTTGTAGTTCCAAGTTGAGGACTACCTGCGTTACATTTTGTGAGCTTTTCCTTAGGTTGTTTCATTCTAAATTGTCCCCTAAGCCTTGCTCATTCCCCCTCTTGTTTCCAATGAATGTTGAATGCATAGAATCATTCTTTGACTCTTTGGCACACGTCTGGACCCAGGAATAACCTTTTGTTCTTTCATGAGCCTCCCGGTCTGTTATGCAGATACACAGATAGCTTGGTGATTAAGATTACGTTTTGATTAGTTCCACCAGAGAGAAATGCAAGAACATTACCTGTCTCACAGAGGTGAGAGGTTTTTTTTATAGCCATTTGGGCTAGAAAATGCTCATTTAATTTGAGCATTTCAAGTTAAATGGCCACATCACTGAAGTAAGCGGGAATTTTCCCAATATGCTTTGCCTCGTGTGCTACATGGCTATACAAGGCTACTGGGAAATGAAGATTTCTTAAAACATTATGAAGTTTCCTTGGAAATCACTGTGGAACCCGTACAATTGGTTTTATTGGGAGTAGGTAGGAGGGGGGTAATCGTTTTTTAAGTGGAAGCAATGTGCATTGCGGTAACCCAAACTAATTTTTATCTCAAGCTGGGTATGTTTACAGCTTGCTATAATATCTCAAGCAAAACCAATTTCCGAGACTGAATTGGTACATTTCAAAATACAAGCAAGTATTATTTTGATCCTAACCAGTGGAGCCTAGAAAAGGGCATTGAGATCATATTAAACCCTACTGTTATTTTTGCTGGTTTAGAATACTGGTAGGATGACAAAAAAAGATATTATGACATCTTAGAAGCTAACCTTTGAATAATGACATATATAGATTGAAACAATCTAATGCCTATTTCCTTCCCACCATCTAAATTCTAATGTATGGTGTTTTTTTTTGTGTAATTTGGCAGGTTTCCAAGGTCCCTTCCAACTTTATTATTATTATTATTATTATTATTATTATTATTATTATTATTATTATTATTATTATTATTCTCAAAAGTCATCATTATACAGCAAAGAACAGGGCTAAAAAACAAAACGTTCACACACTACTCTAAAACTGAAAAACGTTGCACAAAACTCCTGGTACCCACCAATCAGAAATGTGCAAACTGTATTTCACGCATGTGGCAACTTCAGCTACAAATGCAATTTAATTCTATTGAATATGTCAAAATAGTTACAAGGACTTTCTCTGTTTTAAAAAAGCCTTTCAACACAATGTCATCAACAGTTATCCAATTCTTTCAAATTTCACCCATTCAGATTTTGTCCCCTCAGAAAGACTGATGATGCATATTTATAGGAATGCTTAAGTTTATATTGCCTCCTTCTGGCACTAAAACGCTGCTTGGGCAGCTAATAACAACAATCAGTAAAATATGGGGAGCAAGAAGAAAGAAAAGCAGTAAAAATCAAGCAGCTGAAAGAAGGCATTAAATGAATATTATATTTCCTATAAAACAAATAACTTCTGGAAGACAAAGAACAAAGTCTCTTTGGGAAGACACCAGGATTACCCAAGAAGACAAGATAGAGAACTTCCAAAATACTGAGTAACCCTTCACGGTATTTTTAAATAAGCTTCAGTGCATTTTCTTCATTGTCCCCTCTGATATTCTGCAAATGCCATTTTTTCTTCTTTAACTATTCCATACCCACCTATTTGCCTCGGTAAGTAGGTCTATCAATATTACTGCATGGGTGAAGGGCATGATTCTTTCTCATTATTTTTCTGATCTTCCTATCCAGGGTTTTTAGTTCTGCTTGAGTCCAGTCCATTAATCCAGATGTGCATCTAATGACTGAAATTGCTCAGGTGTTAATTGCCTTGATAGTATTGCCTTCCTTGACTTTGGATTTTTTCATTCTCTTGATCTATTCACTTCCAATTTTCTTTCTTGACATTAGTGTCCTTGTTGTTGACAGCTTGAAGGATGCCCAGGTATTTGTAGTGATCATCTTCAACTAGAGTCTTCGTGTTACTTCCAGACGGCGACTTGATTCCTCCAGTTTTCACTGTTTGTTTCTTGTTGAGGGTGGGTGTGGCACATTTGTCCATTGCAATATCTTGGCAGTAGATATGACACTGCTGAGCAGCAATTCTATTTCATATGAGTTTTTTTTTTACACAGCTTTATATTGTCCATGTAAAGGAGGTGTGATAGCCTGGCAGACACGTTTGATTGCCATGGCCTGATTGTTCAACACTGTTAACAGAAGAATCATTACAATGACAACCAATGTTAGTGGTAGTGAATCTATTATTATTAATCACACTGATGAAATTTTGTTGCCAGATTTCAACAGTATGATCTCAAGATGCTGCCCTCCTGAAACTCCTGGTAAATCCATTTCTGTTAACCCCACCACTAGGCTTCTCATACGGTGTGGGCCAAGTTAAATAATGAAACCTTCTGGGGATCTCCTAAGATAGTCAGGCCCCGATGTTTGCTCTAGATTTAGCTCTGAGTAGAATGAGAGAATCTTTTAAGCAGTCCAAGATACATTAAGCATTTTTCCAGATCACTAAATCGAGCCCAAACTGAACCACAGAACCACCACACAATTCCAATGAAAAACCTCTTCACCTATTTTCAGCCTCAACTATTTATCTTTCTGTGGAATGGGCTGAACCCGGAGCAGGAACCCCACCACCTTGTCTTTTAGCTTCACTGTATACATTTATCTTTCTGTTTGTGTCTTGTCACCAATAGTGCCCATTGTGGCAATTATTTTATGAAAGGGTATCTTTCATAACAGTGTCATCCAGACTGTTTTCAAACTTATTGAGGTACTAAACAAGGCCCCCAAAAGATCAAGATTGAAGGAGTCAGACACAATCCTTTTATATATTTTTGTTAAATTCTTCTCTCAGGGGGAATGACATTTTAAATCTTTTTCTCTTTGTTTTAAAACTAATTGTTTAGAGCTGTTTATTCTATGGAATTAAGAGAAACAGGGGTGAGGAGAAACAAAGGAAGATTTAGTTTATCCCGTAAATTAAATGTTGATTAAACACTACAATAAACATTATTTGTGAAAAAGAGATTACGGTACATTCATTTGATCTATTGAATATTTGTAGACTTTGGTGTGTGTGTGTGTTATTGATTTTTATTGATCATTTACTCGGGTCTTTAATGGCATTCTAGTTCAAAATGACATATTCCTTATTGGCAATTACATCTGTTCTCATGCAGCTATGTGTTCCTGCATATATTTCCCCTCCATGAGTGATGGTGTGATATAGCACACAGAGATCATATAAGAGAGATGATTTTAAACTGCTGAGATCTGTTGAAGAGACCCCACACAGCCTTCCCACCCACCAGGGGTTATTGTGATGACCCAATACTGACTTCGAACATATGTTTACTTTCAACTCTTTAGAAGAAAAGTGGGATGCAAATATAATTTGTGAAATGCATGCTGCAAATGAGGCAGAGGGCTGCTTCCTTTCATTAAGAATGACAATTTCCAGTTCCTGATACATTAACTTTGAATTCAGCAGAGATTTGTGTTCTGAACAAGTTAAACAGGAATAATATTGCTGAGGCCACTATTTCAAGCAGGAAGGCTGTTGCCTCCACACTGTGTGCCTCAGAACCAAGTGGAGTATGTCTCAGGAGTCTCTGTATTTTAGCTGACTTGCAGATTCTAGTAGATCAAATTGTGCAGTTGCTATAAATTAAATTGGTCAGGACAACACAACGGCAGGCATCCTTTCCACTAGTTCAATTCTGGGTTCTAAGTGAGCTATCTGGTAGTAGCTCATCAGCACGTAGTGCTTAATATTTTGTTTAAATATTAGGAGATTAGCACATTTCACTGTTTATTGCAAACAGAAGAGAGTATCTGTAAGTTTAGGGTTGAGCTTTGGCTTCTGGGTGCTCTCGGGGCTTGGTTGTTTTCTTGCAGACATTTCATTATCCAAACTAGATAATCATCAGTGTCACTAGCAAGTGGGCTTTGCTCTCATTTTATATCGTAGTGGCTAGGATATTCTAGGACAGGGGTCTTCGAACTTGGCCCTTTTATGACTTGTGGACTTCAACTCCCAGAATTCCTCAGTCAGCGTGTCTGGCTGAGGAATTCTGGGAGTTGAAGTCCACAAGTCATAAAAGGGCCAAGTTTGAAGACCCCTGTTCTAGGATATGAATCCTTCATTCTGCTGCCCCTGGCTAAGATCCAGACCTGAATCAGAGTTCTTCTGTACTGTCCGCTAAATGCAAACTGGTAATACTTCAGGAAATGGATTTGGAGAATATGAACAGACGATCCTGCCTTCAACTCACCTCATCACTGCTATCCCAAATGTGGCTCATACTGTTGCTTTCTTGCTTCACTGCAGAAATGCCGTGTTTTGACTTTTGCCACAGTATTTGCTCTGAGCTGAATCTTCCTGAGGCAGAGGTTTGTCCTGCTCCGATTGGCCACCTGCAATGGACAACCCCTTTAGTCCTCAGCTACTGGGCCAGTGGTTCTCAACCTGTGGGTCGGGACCCCATTTGGGGTCGATCGACCATTTCACGGGGGTCGCCAAGCAAGGCTGTCCGCCATTTTTTTTGTCCGCCATTTTTTTCCCCCTTTTCCGGTGGGTGCCTTACCTCCCTTGAGCTGGGCCAGCTGGTGGTCGGCCTGCTCCGTCTCTGCCGCTTTCCAGCTACGCCTCAGCCGGCGCAGGGGGCGGAACCACGCATGTGTGGCGCTCCTGGGCAGGGAAAGTCCTCGCCTTACGACCGGTTGGGTAGTCCTCGCCTTACGACCGGTTTAGTCCTCGACTTACGGCCGGTTTAGTCCTCGACTTACGACCGGTTGGGGTCGCGGCATTAAAAAGGTTGAGAACCACTGTACTGGGCTTTTGGCAGCAAGAGAGTCAGGACTCGACTAGTGTGGCAAAAAGGCACACTAGTCAGAACTCTACTCCTATTTCTTTTACCAACTCCTAATGGCAGGAGAAATAAGGGGAGAGAAGAGGAGGATGGGCCTCTTCTATTTCCTCCACTTCTCTTGCCAGCGTTTTGTGAGACAAAGATGGCGAGAACCATTCTGCCTTCAGCAGCCCATCATTGCTGATGCTCAGACAGAACAGTTTCCAGCATCCAGCATCATCCCAAGCCCGAGGCAGGACCTGAAATCCAGACTTTCCCAACCAGCATGAGCAGATTAGGTTGCGGTGCAGAACAGCTCTCAGTCTCCCCACCATCTCAGCCTCAGGGCCTGATACTGACAATGGAAGGAAATTTTCATAGGCACCAAAAGGGTTCTCTCCCCCCCCCCCCCGTTGCAAACAGCAGATGTTCTGATTCAGACCTGTGCAAGTTAGCAAATGTGAATCTAATTTTGGACTATGTGTCCCCTGAACTGATTAAAGCCACAGTTGACAATCTTGTGGAGGCAAACCTTTTGTGTTTACTTGGCAAAATATTTTATTTTGAAGTCTCTGTTTATTTTTCACCCTGGTCACATTGATGTGTTTTCTAAAAAGTAACTAAAGTAAATGGTCCATTTCTTCACCACACACAGGGCACCATATAATGAAAAAGCCCACATGTGCATAACCAACAGGGCAAATACAGGAAGCAGGGAAAAGCCAAAACAAGAAAAGGAAAAGACTTTGGAATAATCTCTAGTACCTTTACCTGCAGGGGGTTCTTTGTGCTTATGGCAATGACGTGATACTTGTAGTAACACAGCTCACAGCTCCAGCATCCCCTCTCGCTGATCCATTTGATCAGGCAAGGTTGATGTGTACATTTCACTGACCCGTCACACCGACATGGACTCAGCAACTCACCCTGGAAAGAGAACATTACATACTTATGAAAATTCCTTACTGGAATGGCTCCCTCCAGGCACTTTTTTTTTTTCTTATGGGAGTGGTGGATTAAACATTCATTGTAAACTTGTAAATACAGTATATAATGTATAAATGTATAAGAAAGCTAGCTTGGTTGTAGTGGCTAAAGCACCAGGCTACAGACCAGGTTCTAGAACTGCTATAAGCATGAAGTCAGCTTGGTGACCTTTGACCAGTCACTCCCTCTCAGCCCTAAGAAGCAAGCAAAAGCAAACCACTTCCAAAATTCTGCAACGAAAACTCCAGTGATTTGTCCAGGCTGTCACCAGGAGTCAACACTGACTCAAAGGGACAACAATAAACAGTTTAGATATAATGACTGTGTTTATTTACACAAGGAATACTATGCTTAAGGGTCTTTCTCATACTGAAGTGCTACCACCCACCTTTGCATTGGAGGAAACTAGACCAGCACTGTTAGCCTACTAGGACTACCCAATTCTTCCTCACTGCCAATCCTGCAACTTCCCTCCAATGTAATGGATGACAAAACCTACCAGATTTATCCTCCCCCCCCTCAGGCTGCTGTTGGTCAAACTTTGAATAAGGGAGAAAATGCTACTAGGGATGACTTAAATCCGTTTCACTCCTTGGCTGGGGGAGAAGTCAGAGGAAAATTCATGGGTTCATGGCAAGAAATGATATTGCCAAGTTATATTCACCTGAACCTAACCATGCTGTTGTTTCCTGTGCTGTTCCTATTCCTTTTTTTTATTATTGAGTGTAACTACACTTGGTTTCTTTTTCCTTGCAAAGCAAGCATGCAAGATGAGGGACCTGAAATTGAAAGGATCAACAGTGTCCTAACTAGCCATACTTTGAACATTTTCCATGTGACTGCCCAACTGCATAAAGGCAGCAATTAGATTCATAAATATTAGTAAGCCATGATTTAACTATCAATGCCAAGGCTGTAGGCTAAACTGGGAAGTGGAAAAAATTCAAGGAGGAGGAATGGAAAATCACTTCTCTACTGCTGTCAAGAAATTTCCCATGAAATCAACAGCAACTGATCTCAATTTGAAGACACTAAACTGAAAATGGTAAGAGACTGGATTCCCACAGCAGATTAACTCATAGTTTACAAACTGGATTCTGGCAGCATGCTAAGCTCAAACTGAACAAACAGCATGCCACAGTCACTTATAAGTTTTAGACTTCTGAAGAATTGAGCATTATCAATCCTTCCATTGTCCTGGAATTTGGGGAATGTGAGATTATTTATGGGATTCATACAATCAGCTGGGTCAAATTCACTGAAAAGCTCAGCGATACTTCCCAGATACTTAACAAGCACAGTTGAACTAGGCCTTTAGGCTCAAACTCATCTAAAGACTGTTACACACAGAACACAACATAGAAATCTAAGGTTTTTTTTTTTTCAAATAATGGATTGCTCTCGATTGACAAAAAGATGCAGTCCCTTCAAATGCCTTTTAGTCTTTTTAACCCACCCCCCTTTCCTCAGTTTAACACACTTTTTGGTTTGTGTTGTTTGGCCTTGGAACTGAATGAGTAGGGGTTGTTGGCATAAATGGCATCTCTGCATTGTAAAATTCTGGCACTAAGCACTTCCCAAGCATAGCATTCAGAAAATCATTTCCATGTGATTAGAAATACCATTTTCTAGAGCAGGGGTGTCAAACTCGCAAAGTCATGTGACGTGTCGTGACGTATCGTGACTTTTTCCCCATTGCCGGAGCTGGGGTGGGCGCAGTTTTGGCATGATGCATCAGGCCCGCGGGCTGGCAGTTTGACATCCCTGTTCTAGAGGTCAACACACTGCATTCTTGTTTTAAAAATAAAATATATTCTTCTAAAATGGTTATTGATGATTCTGTTGCTGATCTCAGACATTGGATAGAAAGACCAGAGGCCTAAGACTAGTTCATTCCCTTCTGCCTCTGATATTATAAGCCTTTTAATATTCACAATTGGCACTGCCATCTCTGTCTTTGTTTAGGCAAATCTAATTTCTTACCTTTAACTTTCTAGATCAGTTTTCTCAACTTTAACCATTTTAAGATGTGTGGACTTCAACTCATTGAACACTCCAGCCAGCAAAACCTAATCTCTTACCCACTAATTCTCTTGAGCGGTTTTTTGCAACCTTAGCAGTCTTGGTTGGAGTATTCTGGGAGTTGAAGTCCACACATAATAAAAGAGTTAAAGTTGAGAAACACTGTTCTAGAGGCTCACCTATTCTGTATAACATGGAAACCAGTGAATGTTATTATACAGTTAACTACATCAGACTATTCAGACCAGTGAGCTGAACCATACTGAACAGGGAACAGACTGCCATCTTCAGTCACAGCCGACAGCTCTGGAAAATTATCTGCTGTAATATAAATAATGGCAATCAATTCAGCTGGGAGATAATTTGCTGAGAAATATATTATTAGGGTGCTATTTTCCGGTACTGAACTCTCACCCCTTCGGGCTATTTGATTAACTGACTTAAAATGCTCAGACTCTGCCTTTCCAAATTTGTACTGTACATGGCTGCTTGCAAATATTAGATACATAGAGAAAAGAGGCAACTGATTTACTCTTTCAGTGTTTTCAGCTTGATAGCCAAAATCTCTTGCACGTGGAAAACACATAATATGACTGCAAGAGGGAGGAAGAGAGACCGAATTCTTGAGAAAGACTCTTCATAGAACTTAGATACAGCCCCCAGATTTACACAGGGGACAAAATGTAAGTCCAATGTCTGGCAATCTTCAGTATCTTCTATTGTCCTTTCAAACCTGTGAGAACGAATGTGGCGGCTGCATCAGAAAATCAGCCAAAGCTGCTTGGCATTTAACTGAGATTACCCTCAAGAAATGCCATTAGTATCCATTGCACAGTTCCAAATTACAACCAAGCTATAATGAGAAACGGTAAATTTTGCCATTCCTGGTCATATAAACTCAAATGCTCAGTGATGAATGGTTCTTGCCATCTGAGACTAAATGCACCAATTTGTGCATCAGAGATCCAGCATGGGAATGAAGTAGGTTATATTTTCTTCAGCATGGTCCACCCAGTCAGATGAGTTTGTTACTATCTACCATCTAACTCCATCCATAGTAGCACTAGTCTAAATGAACTGCTAGGGAGCAGACCACTCGGGAAAGTAACGGAAGTTCAAAAATGATTCCTACGTGACTATGTAACCTGAGATTATGTGGGAGTATTTGCAAAGGTGAATAGAGTAGGGGCAATTCATTTGAAAAGAGCCACTGAATGTGTTGGCTGGAGATACAGTATGTGTACATGTGTGTATATATCTGAACATCTATACATGCAACCCAACAATTCCAGTGAATGCTGTTAAGCTAAATAGTTAAACTGCTGGGTACAGGAAATGGTAGATGAATATGAATAGAGATTTTGGAAAGAGAGGGGAAGCTTTTCCTAGGTCTATTGATTCTAGATTAATAGACCCCAGCCCCTAAAGGTTATTCATGGCTGGGAGGAACAGAATGAGAAAAACAGGCCAGTTTTGATGTGATGGCTGAGAGCCATCTGAGCAAGATATCTAAGATCCCTACTATAAGTTGAGAAGAATAGGAAAGAAGAAGAAGAAAGGAAGGTTATTTGAAAACAGCAGCCCCTCCCCTTGGCTGGCAAAAAGGCTATGTGTGAGCAAGAGGTAAAGGTACCTTTCTAGAGGTAACGGCAAGAGGCTCTGAGCAAATAATTCTGGTTCAACAATTCAAGTCAGAGGAGTTGGAAATTCAACCTGTGAAGGAACTGCCCATGGATTTGGCTGGGGGAGAAGTGGAAAGAAGGCCTAGTCAAGAAAATAATCAGAAGAGAACAGTTATGTGACACAGGTCCAATTACCGTGAGTGCATTTAACAGAGTTGGGAGAGCTGGATAGCTTCAACATGTACTGGGTTTTTGAAATGTCTGAATCTTTTGGGGGGCTATTCAATATACTGTGTGTAGGAGAGAGACTAGCCAAGCCAGGGGGAGGAATCAAACAGGACATATTCTAGAATCCCTATGTGGACACAAAAGGGTGAAGTCTGACCTCCCCCCTCCCGCCGAATGCCATTGAACCTTACCTAGTTTCACCCAGGTGCAAACCATCAATCTGAGAAGATAATGGGTATAGGCTTGAGCAATAAAGCAGCTAACTGAACTCTTCAAGTGTGGGTCTGGTTGTTTGTGCCTGACACCGTGTGTGAGAAGAGGACCAGCTCTGAGCATTGAATTCAAACATTCAGCATGGTTTTAGAGCTCTTCTTATGCCTGTTCCTATCTTTGTATCCTTTTCTTAATGATAAAAATAAAAACTGTAAGAAGTTCACAACTAGTCGTATGATATTTTTTTCTCTTCATGAATGCCCCAGGGAGAGGGGTAAACCTTCCTTCTGCTCGAAGATTTAGCAGTGGGCTTGATACGAATAAATCGTGTAAGAACTGAAAAAGACTCTGTTTAGGGGAGTCTTTGAAAGAATTCAGCTTTCAAATACAGAACTCGCTTCTGCATTACACCTAGGAGGTGGTGGTAGGAAGCTGCACATACCCAACAATTATTTAAAACTTAGTTTGATGCCCTTCAAATAAAGATCTCTTACTTAATTCAGAGATGCTCAGGTTATTTTCCCTTCTCATGCCAAGATAGCCAATGCCCAGGGTGCGTCACCCGACTGAAACTTCATTAATGCACATGAAACTCTGAGGAATTCTGAAGGAATCAAAACTCAGACTTGAGCCAAGGTTCAGACAGTCCCAATAACACTATCTATCACCCGAAGTAATTTTTCACCTCTCTAATTTATTGGCAATGGTGTTTCGTCATCTGCAAGCAGCATGTGTCTTCATGGTTCAGCGTAAACACTGTAACGGTCTACAGAGCAGAAGTACCATCAGGCAAGCCAAGCAATTTTGCTTAAATGAATATGAGGAGAAACGTAAACCAGATCATAAGGAAGAGGC